GGCCGCGGCCCGGGGGGCAGGCGGGGTGGCCCGCCACGCCCACGAACCAGACAGGAACCACCAGGCGACCGTCTCGGGACGTGCGGGAAGCACCTGGCACGCGTCGACACTCAGCCCCGGCCACCAGAAACGCCCTCGGCAGACTAGGGCCAGCAAAGGGCCGCTCCGGGCGAGACCGACCCGTCCTCGCTTCAGCTCGGGACCAGGACAAGGACGTCTGCTCTCACCACTTCCTAACGGCACCAAACAAACAAACAAACAAACAAACAAACCGGGGACGAACCCGGCACAGGGCGGGAGACAGACAGAGAGACGTGAAACGTCCCGAGAGACGTCAGGGACCCGAACGAAGGCGGAGGAGACACATGTGACTCACAGGTGGGAAGGTTCGCGCGACGCTGCGGAAACCTCGATTCTCCCTAGGTCTGGTCGACAGACGCAAATGCCACCCCGCCCGGACCCCCGGCAGAGTCTTTGTGTAGAAAGTTACACGATGATTGCACGATTCAGGTGGAAAGCAGAGGCCCCGGGGCAGCAAAACAGCCCCGAACGAGGGGAATGAGCTTGAGTTACTATTCTAAGAGTCAGTAGAGCAGCCCAGACGGGCGGGTGCTGGTGCACGGACGATAAACACACCACGGGGCGACACGCAGGGTCCCGGGGGAAACCCGCACGGGGGCAGAAGCCATGGCTTTGCCGGCACGCCATGCCGGGACGCCGGCGGAGCCACGTGCAGGAGACAGAGGCGAAGAATTTGGGTGCAAACCTCACGCTCTGTACGAAGATTAACTCGAACCGGACCGGAGGCCTGGATGCAAAATCAGAACCGCGGAAACAGGGGAGAGTCTCGGGGGGATGTGGACCAGGCCAGAATTTCCCAGACACGGTACCAAAGGCCCACCCCTAACAACGTAAGTCGGTGCACGGAAAGCCGTCGAAAATCTTTACGGTTCAGTGTCCAAAAGACATTGTAAAGGGAATGCAAGTTAGACACCGATAGAAAATCTCTGCCAAGCAAATATTTCCTAAAGACCTGATCCAGAAGATACCCAGGACTCTCAAGGAAAGGGGTACGAACGAACAATAAATGGACCCAAAAGTGCAGCCGCTTGATAATAAGAAAGCAAAACAACCCGATTTTTAAAAAATGGGCAAAAGATTAGAGCTGACACCTCATTAAACAAGACAAATGAATGGCAAGAACGCACGTGAAAACTGCACGGCACCCTGGGTCCCCCGGGGGACGCAGAGCAGAATCACAGGATGCCACGCTGCGGGAATGGCTCAGCCTGCAAACGCCAAGTGTCAGCCAGATTGTGGAGGGACCCCACCTCGCCGGCGGAAATGTAAAATGATTCCGTTGGCAATGTCTCTTGTCTTAAACAGTTAAGCATAAACGTCCCATGTGATCTAGTCGTTTTCCTTCGAGGCATTTACCCATGAGAAAAGGAAATGTTTGTCCTGGTAAAGACTTTCACATGAATGTAAATACTGCTTTGTTTTTAATCGTCAAAAACTGGAAACGACCCAAATGTCCATCAACAGTGAATGGGTAAACAAGCTGTGGTGTGTCCCCACCGCGGCAGGCAGAAGGAATGTGGGCCCAGGCACGCGAGGCACGGATGCGTCTCACACGAGTTATGGGAGCGAAAGGGGCCAGACGGCAAGAGCACATACTGCATTTCCATTTATGGAAAACTTATAAAATGCGAGCTGACCGGGCCCCTGGAGCTTGGGAAGGGGGGGCCGGGACGGGGAGGGATGGGAGAAGGGGCTGCGGGGACCGAGGGCGCTTCTGGGGGTGGCAGATGTGTTCGGCCTCGCGGGTGCAGAACCCAGCGGGCCGTGTGCTTTGGGCGTGTGCGGTCCGTCCCGTGTGGATTATGCCTCGATAGAGAGGTTGCAAAAGCATTACACAGCCAGTGAGAAACTGGGAAATGTTTTCAGTCAAATGTGACAGGCAAGGGGGGTAGGACGGTCACTGCGTGAACTGCACTTGGGACGGCACGAGGAAAACAGCATCCTGGCAGGTTCGCCAGCGAAGCACCACAGCCGCCGGCTCAAACCGCAGATGCTTCCCGTGCCCGGTCCCCGAGGCCAGAGCCCGAGACCCCGGTGTGGGCGGGCGGTTCGCCCCGAGGCCTCGCTCCTGGGCGTGTGGACGGCGTCTCCTCCCCGTGTCCCGCGTGGTCTCCCTGTGCGTGTGACCGTGGCCTGACCACCTGTGCTTATAAGGACACAGTCGCCCTGGATTAGGGCCTCCCTCCTGACCCCCACTTCACCTTGCTCACCTCTTTAAAGGTCGTGCCTCCACATACAGTCACACTCGAGGGTGCTGGGGGTCGGGACTCGGGTGATGAATTTGGGGAACAGGGATCGGCCGACGACACCCCTTCACTGGGGAAAAAATGAGCAAAAGACATAAATAGACAAGTCACAGATTCGGGAAGACAAAGGACCACAAACACCGGTAACCACGTGTCACCGCAAACAAAGGAAACACCGTGTCACCCCGGGGTGTCCAAGGGCTGCTCGCAGCAGGGATGGCCACCTGCCCCTGTGTGCCGGACCCTCCAGGAAGCACACGTGCCTTGGAGAGGCAGGTACAGGTGCCAAGCAGGTACCAGGAGCCCCCAGGAGGGGACCGCAGGGCTTGTGGGCAGCGGCCTCGGCCGGGCAGATCCCATGTGGCTTGGTCTGGACATACATGGAAAACACCCCTTCAGCGTGTCCAACCGATGTGGACCCATCGTACCGACTAGGTGACCTCAGGTCTGGGGGTGGCCTGCTGGGAGTCCCACAGCCCCTCTGGCGTGGTTCCGGGGTCGGTGGGGGGGCAGCCTGGTGCCCTGGCCCGGGCTGTGCCAGCCTCACTAGTCTGACCACACGTGGGATCCCCTGACACCCACCGAGTGTTTAACCAGAACGGAACCGCCCGCCCGTGAGGGGGTGCTGAGGCGGGACTGCCGCCAGTGAAACAGGGTCACGGGGACCCGGGCCCCGCCGGCTGGCTTACTGCCTGTGCCCCCGAGACAGGACATCCAGGGCGCTCCGCATGAAGAGCGGGCACAGCTGGCCGAGGCGGCGAGAAGCCCCGTGGTCTCAGAGCTTCAGACCTCACCGGTGCCCTCCAGCTGGCCTGGCGAGCCTCTCCCTGGGGCAGCCACGCCGCTGACTTCAGGAAGCAGGCTAGCCCCGCAGTGATGGGGCGGGTCGGTGACGGGGCAGGGGGCATGAGTAAAGGGACACGCACGGGGTCCTCTGCGCCCAGGCCTTATGCGGGGACTCGGCTGGCAGACAGTCAGAGGCGGGGCCTGAGTGGTGAGGGGTCTGTGCCACGAGGCCCCACGCCCGCCCCAGCCCACAAGGACCTCAGTCCCTGCTCAGACTCCAGCCCCTCTCATCGGGGCAAACCGACCTGGCATCCAGTCACCACACACAGCTCCGAGCCCAGCTGCCGGCCACATCTGTGAGGGCGACAGGGCACCCCCAGTTAGAACAGGGCCTCGGTGCTTTAGAGAAAGAAGGACTGCCCCCCTGCTGCCCCC